CCCCACCCAAAAAAAAATAGTTAAATCAATGGAGATTCGGTACCTAAGTACTTGGTAATTAGGTTCTTCTGTGCTTCTGGCTGCATACCATTTTGAGGAATCCTTTGTAGTGACCTACGACTAGGAGGAATGTTTTTGTGTCTTGTGCTCTTTCAAATTTCTTGTCAAAAATTGTCACTTCTGGTTGCTTTCCATTAGTAAATTCATCCCCAGTCTTTTCTTGACTAGGGAAGTTTCTCTTCAGAGAGGAGAAAGCCCACACAGAGAAAAATATATGAAGAAGTTTGATCAGTGCTTGAAACAGCATTTCTTCCTGAGTTTTTATCATAGGCTCAAATCTTTAATATTTTTTACGTAGTATATTCCAGAATTCTTTAGTTTGAGTGTGCAATGTAATACATGCTTTAAATGTTAATCTTTTTGCTCTTTAATCTACGAAGACATAATTGATGGCACTAGCATCCACATCCCCCAAACCACCATTTTTTTGGTCACACCTTCACGGGTTGTGTGCAGAATTGACCGAGGCTTCTTCTGTAGCACTGTACTGCAGTAGCGCTGTCTTATTCTCCAGAACTCAATTTCACAACGTACTGGAGGAGACACGCTTCAGCTGCAGTGGAGAAGGCTTTATTTTCATCTCTCTCGATTAAATTAATACCTGTTTCGGAGTGCTCTGCAGCTGCAAACTGGAGTTGGGTTCGGTTTGTAATGCACATTAAATAGAAAGTGTTGGATAAGGTGCTCCTTGATAAACTTTTGTTACAGATAGCTTTATACTGCTAGTCTGTATAAAGTTTAACAGTTTCTTAGAGTCATTAATTTCCTGCTGTGACTTTACCTTCCAGTGCCAGGATTAGACATTTAATTCTCTACTAGACTGTAAGTAGCACTTGAGACATTTTGGTTCTAAAATTGTTATATAGCCATGGAAAACATAATTTCAGTGGGCAGTTTAACCTCTTTGAGCTCAATTATAGCCATGAACCGACAATGATAAAACAGCCCTAAATAGTGCTTAGAACAGTAAAACATGATGTTATCAAAACCAGCAACTGGCTGTGCACCATAAACTGACTAAATTGACTGAACTGGAAACACATAAAATCCGCCTTGTGGTACACCATACATACTTTTAAAAAATATTTGCAGGTCTTAATGTTTTCCTTTTATATCTTTGTGCTGGTCTGGCAAACTTCTTATTCTTTTAGCTATATCTTAATTAATAAAGTTTTCTCCATGACAAAATGAATTAAGCAAGACCTTTATTTAATGCGCTTTCTCCTCTAACGAGTGGAGTTTCATGTGGTGGAAACAACCCACACTTTGAAATCACCTCTAACTTAAAAATGCAGTGAGGGAAAAAAAAGCGAAAGCATTGTCTTATGAGTGATAGTTTGTGTCATAATATTTACATCAGAATGCAGGGGAATTAGGGCATTGCAAAGACACTTGTTAATGCGCGCACGAGCACAAGATGTCATGCTGGTTTTAGAATAAAACTTAACGTGCTTTTGCCGCGTGTTTTATGACCATTTAAATTCAAGTCACAAGACTTCTCCCGTTCCCTCCTGAACTGATGTTGGCTGAGTGAAACAGTAAAATCTGGGGATGCGTAAGCCATCACTTTGGCCAGACGTTGTGGCAGTGTGCAGAGGAACGTGCAAGATTAGTTTTCCAGTAGTTATTTACCTTGATGAATAGCCCTAATTGGATCAAATAGACTAGTAATACTGAGCTAATACTTTTAAATGTCTTGTCTTGTGCAATTAATATTACCTTGTCATGTATCCATTTCAGCTATTGGATGAACGTCTTATGTTCATACGCCTGTCACATTTAACAAATGATTTTGTCAAGTCATTCTTTATAGCCTGTGGTGATGGATAGCAAAATTTGTGGTCTCCTGCATATATAAAAACCATTAACTACACCTTTCAACTTCAATGCAAGGGCGTCCTAAAACTCAGATAACCAATTTCTAAAGAAATTATAATGCATGTTTACATGAGGGGTTAGAAATATGCTACTGACATCTATGATTAACACAGCATAGGAAAACAGAATTTGTTAATCTTGTATTTATCAAACCTGTGACAGTCAGAATTCAGGGTTTTTTTCAGCTGCTGCAACTCTGAACTGCAGAAGGCAACATACAGTTACCGTTGGAAACAAGATACCCATTTTATTCATTTTTATTCGGATATCACTACTGTATATTTAGAATGGTAAACCCCAAATTGCTGGTTAGCTGATGCTTTTACTGTCCTTTTTATGGATTTCTAGGATGTGGTTGTAGACTGAAGGTATTTAATACTGATGAAAATAAGCTGTGTACTTAAATATCCTGAGACTTTTCTTAGAGTTCCATAGGGCATATTGTTATAATCAGATCTATAATACCACATTAACCTTGATTAAAAATTGAAGTTCTTGTTCACTGAACACAACACTTTGAAACAGATACCTCCTTACAGAACGATATAAACAGAAAAATGTCAGTGTTCATTTAACGTTTAAAGTATTTTTTTCAGTGCAGTGGATGGTAGGTTTTATTAATAATGGCGTTCAGCTTGAGCAAGTGGATGTTTTTAAGGATTTTCCCTGAGAATGAGAGGGAAACCACATGGGATTTTTGAAACCTTTGTGTGTTCCTTTAGAAATGCCACCTTTTCGGCGCATTTTGGTCCAATGGACTTCAAAAAGTCTGACTGTAGGTACTGAAATGAGGCATCTAACGGGAGCAGAGCTTCTCAGCAAGTGTGGGGAGATCTGCAGGAGGGGATTAACCAAACATGAGACTAACCTCTCTCTCAGTCTGTCTCCTTCAGTGCTGGCTGTAGATGAAACCCTTCATTTAGTAGAGAAGGATTGATATATCTAGTGACTGGAAATCTATCAGCTACAGAATGCAGAGTGCCATGCTGGTGCACTATTCTCTGACGCTTAACATCTTAGTGTATTTTTTCTTTTTTCCTTTTTTGCAGTGCTTTGAGATATTTCCAGCAATATTAGTGTTTAGTCTTGTATTGAGATGGTACCTATGAAAACTGTTCATGGATCTCATAGTATAAGATGCTGTGCAAACAGACCCAAAGGACAGTCTGAAAGAGCTTTCAATACAAAAATAAAGTAAGAGTCAGCAAGTGGGTATCAGCAGATTGATGAGAAAAAGGGATAGAGCATGAGGTGACAATGTGATAGGTAGTAGCAACCACACACCAGCCTGTTACTGCTGGCAGGTCTCTGATATATTCTCGTCCTTTTTTTTTTTTTTTTCATCTTTATTTCCCCCCCTGTTTTTATGTATTACTGTGGTATCTATGCTGAGTGCATTTAATCATTTTGAAAGCGGAAAAATACTTCCCAAGTAGAATATGAGTAGAATTAATTTTTTAAGGGAAATTAAGAATTGGTGTTCTTAATACATTAGCTGCTTTAGTTGCAATAGAAGGAATTTGCCATGCAAACACATACATGCTATCTTGCTTTGCTTGTTTTTACTGCACCACTCAGGGGCTGAATGGAAATATTCAAAGTTACCTTTCTCCTTATTCAAATAGAGCTGACAACAGCAAATGCGTCTTGGATCATGTATTTACAGTGCCTAACAATATAGCAGTTTTCAGTATGATTGGGTGATTTGATGACACCTTGTCTAGCTAAAGCTTTCTTGTCTGGACTGCAAAATAGAGAAAATTACCTTTCCTGATGTTTCATCTAACTAAAAATGAATGATTTAAGGAGACTAATGGCTAACCAAACCTCCAGGTTGAATAGCTCTCAGCGTGTTGTGTTTGAGTCCCCAGTTTTTCATTCTTGACAACCAAAATATTGCAGAAAACATGCTAAAAATGTTTCTGAACCATACTCCTGTAGAGCAATTAAGTTTCCAGGAAGAATTACTTAAAAATTCAGTCATCTTTCTGGCTGTCTTTCAAATTTTAGTGAAGTTTGATGTTAATTAGTGGTTATTAGCAAGGTAGATAAGTTAGTGACGTCATTCTTACAGTAATATTGTTTCAAATAGGTGTTTTTATGAAATAACAGATGTTTAATCTTCAGTAGGGTGCTCTTTTTTTTTCCTTTGGAATAAATTGTAGTATGTTTTCTAATCTGCCTGGAAAATGCTTACGAAGGTTTTCTGTTTATAGCTGTTGGAGGTATTTGAAAGCGAATAGGAAGCACGAGGCATGTGCTAAACAAAATACTCATTATTGTGTAGAATACTATTCAGTACAGGCATTAGAGAAGGCTTAGAAATATTCAGGCTAATATTTTTAATGGTTGCTTGAAGTTAAGCTCCTTGATCCATATTTGGATTTTAAGTGAGCTGAACTGTTTCTGAAAGTAGTGTGCAGCTTTCAATTCTCATCAATTTGCAATGTATTATGTGGGTAATCACCACAGTCCTGTAGAGATCCATTCGGTCCAGTAGGATTAGATGGATGTCTGCATGAATCTCGGGAGGGTTTAACAAAGCCTAGGCCCTTGAATGTTTGATATTTGTATGCTCGCTGCAAATATGTAACTTGGCGGAAAGAAAGAAAAAAACCCAAACTCCCATACAGTGCTGTGAGACGCAACACATCAGTGCTTAAATATGAGTAGCCAATGAATGTATATTGATAAATCTCCTTTTATTTACCAGTCTGCTTTCTTTTGTCACAGCTACGGAAGGCAGTAATGGATCATATATCGGATTCATTCCTGGAGACCAATGTCCCATTACTGGTTCTCATTGAGGCCGCAAAAAGCGGTAATGAGAAAGAAGTGAAGGAGTATGCTCAGGTCTTCCGTGAACACGCCAACAAGTTAGTTGAGGTAAGTGACCTTATTACTACAGCTAGATTTCCACCTTGCCTTTCTAGGAGAGGCAAGAAAAATTATAGGCTGGCTGGAATGTTAGAAGTAGCATTTCTGTAATACAGGTTTCAGGAGTTTTGGTCAACTTTATCCCGGTGATTGCATAGCAAATGTCCAGATGACTGGCAGAGAGGAGCATCTGCTATATTTTAGTAGTTCATTGAAGCAATAGAGCGTGTTTAAAGTGGAATTTCCAGTATTTTGTCAGAAGTCGTGAGCAACAGGAAGTAAATTTCGGTTCAGCTTTTACTAACAATACGATAGATCGTAATCTTTGTTAAGTAAAAAGCAGAACAGGTGCTTCACAGTACTGTGTGTGGTACTAGCCAAAGGCTGCTCGAGACTTAAGAGCTTGTCAGTCTGAGCTAAAATAGGGAAAAGGACTTATGTAGAAGGCATAGCCTTAAGGCCATATTTACTCTTGGAAGGTCTGTATTACATATAGAGAGAGTGTCTTCTGTTTCCAAAGAGACGTACTACGTAAGGTTAACTTGCACAGTGTAGGTAAACTTAATTATAATTTCAAGTCTTCAGGGATGATATTGAAATAGTTCTATTCTACCATGAGGAGTATAAAACATAATGATTGCAACCTGGGTGCCCACGGAATGGGCTTTTATTAAAATAATGATAATTCATCTTTATTGATGAATGCGATGATATATAAATCATCTCAGTTTGTCCTTTTTAACAGATCAAAAGCTATGAAACATGCTTGTATTTCTTGAAGACAATTATAACTCAGTGATTTGCTTATTATTATTGTGTGGCATTGTTGACTTCTCTGTACTAGCATTATGTTGAAGAATACGTAGCCCCTTTGCAACATCCTTTCTCACTAACCATGCGCTCTTTAGCAGAGGCGAATGCTATACCGTTGAACGGCTTCTGTTCCTAAAACAGACATCATCCTAATTCTCTAGTACCTGAGCTGAAGCAAGGAGTAAAGGTTTCTTGGTTACTCTTGACTAAAGCTAGACAATTCCCTGACAAAACACGTGGCGGGGGGAGTGTTTTTAGTGGGAGTAAGGTGCTGTTCTGGAGCATCTCACTCTTCCCACGTACAAAACAAGGAGTCAAGGTGCTGCATTCAGGGGCTGGGAGTCAAGTGTTTGCTATAGTGCTTAACTTCTGGGCACCTAAAGGTAGATCCTGGGCTTTAAAAGCTCTGGATGGATTCTGTACCGTGCTGAATACAGTAAGGCTTATTACTGTTGTTTGCGAGAGGAGCACAGGCCTGTCAGCAGCTTTCAGTCCTGACCCTGCTGTGTTATGCAAAGATCTGTTACTGCTGCCCGGTGACTGGAGCTGTGGCAATGGAAAAGGAATTAGCCAGTAGGTATATAAAGAGAGAAAAAAGTAAACAAATGGAAAACACCTCCACAATATTCATAGTTGTATTGTAGCGGCAGAGTTGTAGACTTATATATAACATGCAATTAAGATATGTATTTAGTATTGCAGCAGTCCCCTCCTATACAGATTTGCAACCAAGAGTTGCAAGGTATAATGGCATTATTGAAAAGTGAAAAATAACTGTGTTGATCTTTTTTAAAAGTTAATAAGAAGTAGTGACATAAAAGGAGGAAAAATACCTTTTAAAGACTAAAGTTAAAAAAAAAAAACAACAAAACACCTTCAACTGGAAGAAACTCAACAGAAGAGTGGTTATAGTTATCTACCTTTGGTTTTATAAGCCTAACATTACATTAGACTTGTACTTTAGACCAAACTAGGGTTTGGTTACTGAGTGTGAACATTATGTGGTCATCTTTAGGTACCCCACCAATAAAATAATGATGATAGTAACAGTAGATGTCTTGGCCCTAATACCTAATGTTTTTATTCTATTTAGGTTGACCTTTAATTGATTCTTATATGTCTCTGACATCTGGTACTAGCCTGTGGGTCCATCCTTACTCTTGTCCATGGACGAGTTCATTTAGATGGATCTTAACCTTTTATTTTAAAGGATTCTTTCTGGTTTAGGTAATAAAGTATCTTGAAGAAATTAGTGTCTAGTGCAAGTGTAATTTTGAAACTCAAGTTTCAGGTTGACTGCACAAGAAAAAAGATACTTGGAATAGATTTATGTTGTACACTAGATTTTGCAGTTTAAATAGTTTCATCATTTTTACTTATGATGCACAATGGTATCTTAGCAGATGGGCTTCTATGGTTTTGTGGGTCAAGTATTTTGCAAATAGTAAAATGTGGTTTAAAGATGAGACATAATCAAGTGACTATGAAATGTAAGATCCTTTCCCAGGCACGGGGCCAGAACTGCTTGCTAATATATGCAAACACAGTTCCACTGAAGTATGTGGACTTGCACTTGCTTATGTTAGAGGAATTTGACAGTGCAAATCCAATACTGTGAAAACTCTGTATTATTAATCATCAATTTTAAAATCAGAATCTGAATTTCTTGGATGTCTTACCAAGTTCAATAGAAAGTCTATCAAAAGGTCAGGAAAAATAAACCTTGTTTTAATACTTCTTTATGTAAAAGCTACATTTTACCATTCTGAGAAAAGAAATGCGTTTCTTGATATTTGATGAATACAAATGGCAAAATTTTCTTTCCATAGCCAATACCTTTTCAAAAATATATGCTGTAAGAATGAGGCTTATGGAAGTTAACTTTCTTCTATAGTCCACGTTGCAGAATACTTATATCTTCTTTTCAGAGCTGTTTTCATTATTCGTGTATTTTCCCCTCCCTGCGTCTTACCATAACATTTTGTCTTTTGCTTTTCACTTGAATTGGTACGATGTGCTTCGTTTGAGAACAACAACCGCAAAGATGAATTCTCATTTTTCTAGACATTCACTGACAACCGGTTAGTTTGGACTATGGGTTATGTTGGAAACCCAGAGTAAGGTGTCATCCTGTGAAACTTGAGGCCCTGTATCTGTGACACCTATGTTTAGAAGCCTTCTTGTCTCAGACTCACTCCAGAGTTCAAGAAGGCAGAGGATTGCAAGAATGAGGCCGAGCTTAACTATGATGTAAATCATCCAAAGTGACTCATTGTTGTACAAATACTTGGGGTAAAGAAAGAAAAAAAAAAAAAAAAAGTAAAACAGAATTTAGATGGTACCATTCCAGGCATGTACACCTAACTCCTTTTCTTCAAATCGTTTTTCATCAGTCATCTCTCAACTTTTCTGCCTTCTGAAACTGAAGTTAGAGAAGTGATGGTGCCTTTCCAGGTCATGATCTTTACCTCGTGAATCCCTTTAATGATTTAAAAAAAAATTATCTCTAATGATTGAAAGTCTGTAAATGCCCGAGCTGTATTGCCAGCTTCAAATGTGACCTTGGGAAGTCATTTAACTTCTGTATCCAGGCACCTTCATTTGTAGCATAAGGTTAATGACAGATAATTCTAATACCTACCACATAAAGGCACTTGACTGATAAATCAGCTTAGATTTATTCAATGCATCTATCAAAGCGCTATATGGCAGCTAATTAATTATTTTTTATTGTTCTGTTTAGTAAAGCCTCCTTGGTTTAACTGTTAGTCCTCTGAACTGTTTCTTGCAAATTTAAATTATTAAATCCAACCAGTTTTCCTGGGAGATGAATTCAGCATCCAGTAAACCCTTAAGAGCCATGATAGCAAGCTGTTTAGTTGTTTTCAATAGGAAACATCAGCATGTTTAAAGTTTAATTAAGAACTGTGAAAATTCAGATTATAGTGCCTTCTAGTTAAACTAGCGGATTGGATCAGGCTTTCCATTCTCACAAGATTGGAGAAAAGTCCAAGAGAGTTCTACTATGACTTAAGTTTTAGGGAGTTTTAGTATTTTTATGAAAGAAGTTCACTATTTGGTGATTAGTGAACATTTACAAGAGTTACTCCAGTTGCATTATTCTTCCTTGAAACTTATTTCCAACAAAATTGGAATGAAGGGGATTTTTGTTCTTTAGCATGAACCGATGCAGCACCAAATTTGAAACAGCTAAAAATAAACTTCTGAAAAGACAGAGCCTTACCAATTTTGCATGAATTAATTTTTATGAAGAATTTTGTGGAGCCTACATGTATCTGTCAGTTTCATGTCATACAGACTTAAAGATTTCTGGAAACATCCAGAATAATCAGAGTTATCTTCTAAGAACACTTGGCTAGTGGAAGAACTGTATTAGGCAAGGGTTTATGATGATTAAAATTTGATATACTGCAAACAAGTCAATAGTATCACAAGGCTGGGTAGTAATTTGTAGCTGATGAAACTTGAAAGCAGCATTTCTGTTTCTGTTTTATAGTCTCTTTGTCCATTAGGCTTGCAGGAGTCTATTAACTTTCTCCTGACCATTTAATTGCCACTTTGAAGAGGATATTTGGATTACTTTCGGGAGTTTAAGGGTGTTGGGTTTTTTTCTTTTATGATGTCAAGAGGAAAAAAAGTTAGTGTTTGAACTTCTTTGTAAGACACCCTGCAGGCTACCCTTCGTTTTCCAAGAACTTTATTATCTGTAGCTCCCTAATTCAGACTGATTGTATGTTTTCCCATCATAAATGTGGAAACAGGCTTGCACGCTGAAGAGAGGAGGGAAAAACCACTGCTGTCATGCACAGCACACAAAAAAAGGCAGTTGGACCTGCTCACTAACCCCTGCTTACTTGATTTGGTAATGAGAGGAGGGCGAGAAAAAAGTGTGAAAGAAAATTTTACTATTTTGGTCAACGGTGAATTTAGTCTAGTTTTACATCAGCAGTAACAGAACTACTATCCAACCCAGTACTTTTTTGTTCCAGAATGTCTCTCAGAAAAGCACACAGTGCATTTCGTTCATAGGAAACACGAAGCTAGACTTTCTCTTGGGGAATGAAGGGCTGTGTAAATCTGCAATGCACTTGAGGCTGGCGGAGCACTGACAGTTCGCAGTGTGGCACTCTAGCTCACTTTTCAGGGGGTACTAGTGATCTTCATAAGGAATATAT